AAAATCTGCCATCACCCACAACCCCCTTGCTTCCCTGCTAGAAGATCCCAAGGGCTGGTGTTGAGCAAACCCACAATTCCCAGGGGAAAACAGGGACCCTAACTGTTTCTACCTCGTGGGGCAGTGATCACTGAACAGCTAATGAGCATTGGTCCAGTGCCTCCCCACAGGAAGCGAGCAGCACCGAATGCACCTCAGCTGAGGTGCCCTTCGCAGCAGAGAGCAGCCTAAGCCACACTGCAAAGAGCCTTTGCGTCAATAAGTACGGGGACGAGGACCTGTTTTCTGGTAGAAGGTGGCATCCTTCTGGTAAATGCGGGGGTCCTTCTTCTTCAACAAGGAAAGCGTCCGGTAGAAGTCTCGTTCCTGCTGGGGGTCAAATTCCTAGGGGGGTGGGGGAGGCAGAAGGCAAACTTAAAGAGAGCTGGAGAGAGTCCTGGCGGGCACTGGCGATGGGAACAGTGAGCTGGGGTTGTGGAAGGGGATGTGCATGGGAGAGAAGTTTGGGGAGAGGAAAGGGGCGGTCCCAGCTGGGTGTGAGGAAGGGTCCCGGGGCAGGTCAAACCATCCTGGGGAAGGCGAGGGGGCGGGCCCGTCGAAGGGAGGGAGGACTGGCAAAGGGGCGAGTGGGTAGAGATGGCTCCTGGGAGGGATTTAGAGGCTCGGCGAGGCCGGGAAGATCTGGGCTGATGCGCCCAGGTCGCAGAAGCGGGGCCGCTGGGAAATAATGAGACTCCTGGGGGTGAGGACTAGGGGTCCCGGGCGTTCAGTGGACAGGTGGATCCGTCGCGGGGAGGGGAAGCAGTGGGATCCTGGAATACCCCGTGCAGATGGGGCGAGTGTCGGCTGCCCCTCCTGGAATGAGGGCCCGGGGGTCCCGGATGCCGGGGTGGGGGGGTCCGGCCCTAGCACTTCGGCGCCCATTCCGGTTACGTGGGGGCCGGCGTGGGGCAGCTCACCACGCGCTCGTCGCTGGAGTCCGACTCGGAGCTGGAGTCGCTGCCGCTGTCCCTGTTCCCGTAGCGATCCTTCACTGAGGGGCACGGGCCAGACTCCCGCAGATCAGTCCCGGGGACCAGATCCTCCCCGCCTCCGCCACACACACCCTGCCCGACGGCCCTGCACGCGCCCGAGCCCCGAGCCCAGGCGCAGCACTCACGCCGCTGCAGCTCCTCGCGCTCCCGG